AATTGCATCACAGGGGCAAGACAATCAGAAAGATGGAGAGAAGAAGGGCAGGGAAAAATAGAATATGCGTAGAAGGAGGTAGCAGCAGCTCGAGAGGGCACATCAAAGTTTGCTCAGGCATTGCAGCGCTCAGCCGCTGCAGTGGCAAAGACAGTTAAATAAATAAAGCAGCAATAAAGAAATGGTCATTGCAGCGGCACAGACGAAGATACTCCGCGCCACCCCAAAGAAGCCAAGTCACGTCCTCACACACAATAGGCGCTTGTCGCTTAAAGCTTCACAGCGTAGACACGCCTGGGGTATTTGCGGGCCATGCGCAGCTGGCGGCGCGTCTTGCGGTTCTTCTCATTGTCCTTCAGCGCGAGGCGGCGGCGGTGGGTCAGCTTCGCGCGGAGGGCCTTTGGCTTGCTCGCACGCAGCTTCTTCTCCGAGTAGAACTTGCGCAGGTTGTCGCGCTCGTTCTGGTTCAGCACGGTGAGGATGCGGGCAATGCTCTTGCGGATCAGACGAATGCGGCCAAGGCGGGTGCCGGCGCTGTTGAGCTGCTGCGCCACGCGAAGCTGCGAGAGCTCCTTCTTGAACTCCATGAGCTGCTTCATCAGCTCATCCTTGTTCTTCTCGCGCAGATCGCGGATCTTGACGTGGTGCGACATCGCTGAGCAACCAAATTGCATCACAGGGGCAAGACAATCAGAAGGATGGAGAGAAGAAGGGCAGGGAAAAATAGAATATGCGTAGAAGGAGGTAGCAGCAGCTCGAGAGGGCACATCAAAGTTTGCTCAGGCGTTGCAGCGCTCAGCCGCTGCAGTGGCAAGGACAGTTAAATAAATAAAGCAGCAATAAAGAAATGGTCATTGCAGCGGCACAGACGAAGATACTCCGCGCCACCCCAAAGAAGCCAAGTCACGTCCTCACACACAATAGGCGCTTGTGGCTTAAAGCTTCACAGCGTAGACACGCCTGGGGTATTTGCGGGCCATCCGCAGCTGGCGGCGCGTCTTGCGG